GTTAAATGATTACTAAGTGTTTGAGCCTGGATTCTAATCCGGGATCTCTATTTACCCTTTCACTCTGGCTTTATCCTGTTGTACATTGTCTGAAAAGGTATTTCCCACAATGTTCATACATGATATATAACTTTTCATTAATGAAACTGACTTCTCAAAAAAATGAGCAGAACTTTTGAGTGTTAGTTGCCAAAATGTCTCCTTAAAGGCTACACATTTATATCAGGGACATCCTTGAAATTCCCAACTTGTATCTGCGATTAGTGTCAATTTATGAAGCAGATATCCAATAATCTGCTGCTTTATAATCATATCATAGTTTCCATCAAGCACTTTGTTCATGACATTTGGTTTGGATTTAGTTTCAGTAACAAATTCATCCTTAATGATAATGACTTGCCAACAGACTGTTAAGATTGCAGAGTAAACGCCTAAGGACATTTCTGTAGAAACTTAAATGCAAGGACACCATTACTGAAATAAGCAAAGAGCTTCCTAAAGTGTGAGCCTTGAAGAGGTTGACACACGGTTAGACACATATTTATGAAATATTTTCTGGCTGGGAAAAAAATATCGATTATATCATTTCCTGCTCTCATCATCCCTATAAGTGAGCAAAGTTTATGAGTATAAGGAAGCCGCATAGCATCGTAGCTAAGGGCGTCTACTGGAAACAAATCAACATGGTTTCACATCCTTTGTCTGACACTTATGAGCTATGTGACCTGGGGCAGGTACTATTACCCCTCTAAGCTTTAGTTTTTAAAATCTGTAAGATGGGGAGAATGGTAGTACCTATCAGAAAGGCTGTTGCTTAGGTAAAAGGAAGTAAAGTTTACAAAGCAATTAATACAGTATTAATCCAATACTGACAAATAGTGAGTGGCCATTAAATGTTATGCATTTTGAACTTACTTATTTTAACCCACATTCTAATAAGGTAGTATTATTTTTGCACATATACTACAAATCTTTGTATTACCAATATGAATATTATTGATACAGAAATATTTAACTACAAATTTATTTTAGAAACCTTTTATAAGAGATCAGACCTTTTTTGGTTTGGATCTTTGACTCAATGAACTAGTATTCACTGGTAAAATAAACTGATTTTAATCATGGACTTAAATTTTAAAGTTTTATTGCATTTTACTTTTAATTCTCATCATATTCCAAAATAATTTAGACAGACTTCATCCCAAACAATGAAAATTAATTCTCTCTCTTTCCGGTAAATTAGAATATAGATATAATTATGTTATCTCATTGTTTTTAAATCTGGTGAGTATTGGAAACATATAAATCCATGCATGATATTGCTTTGAAAAAATACAATTTTATATTGTTTGGTTTGGTTTAAAATTTTAAGTTATAAATAAAATATTTTAAAATAAATGTGTACATTCTCAGCTAAGTAAAGTACCATGATTTGGAAAATTACCTAGATGGAGAGGATTGGTGATGTGGTAGCTTTATTCTCTCCTTTCCAGATTCTTTGTCTTGGTGTTCCTAATGAGAAGAGTTTGCATGAATGCCAGATGTAAATTGCTTAATAATGTTTTTGAGTCTGTTTTTTCCTGTAGCACATACTTACACCTATCATGAAATCACAAGGAATCACACACATCCCAAGTGGGACTTTATTCAAACCAAAAATGCAAAATGCTATGGTTTCTGTTTTTCAAGAAGTGGCAAACAGTCCCTGAGACATAGCTCTACTGCTGATCATGCGTCCAACAGAGAACTACTTCTAGGTCCCTCTTGGACAGAATGCTCCATTAGGCATTCCACGGGCTCCCCCTTCCCAGCAGGCCTCTGCCCAGCCCCGTTGCCATAGATGGCCATCAGACATTTGGAATGACATCAGGAGATAATCTGAGCAGGCTCTGCCCAAAAGAATTCAAGCTAGCAGGAGACTGAAGATATCAATGTCTTCTTGGCTGACAACAGCATTCCAAAGGTCAAGCAGGGTGAAAAGAGGATAGATGGAGTTTCCAGTGCCTTTTCAACAACCAAGCAGCTAACAAGTATAAGGAAGCATCCCTCAGGGAGAGAATAAACAAATAAATACAGACAAAAGAAGCCCAAAAGTATCCCAGAGGCACCATCTTGTGAGAGGGAAATAAGGCAGCAGACAGCCATTGAGTCAGGAAATTTTAGGATTAAGGAAACCTCTATCTCTTAAAGGTAAAACTCACAAATAGCTCTCATGCAGAACGAATCTCTACCTCTCTGACAATCTACTTCTCCGACTTCTACGGTGATAGCCCACTATGGAACTTAACGGTGTAGAAGTACAACTCCTCGCAGGAGAGCAGAAATGGCTAACCTTCACTGCAGCTGACCGCTTTCCCACCTCTGGGCTTCACACTGAACAGCTCATTTAATCCTCATAACAAAGTTTTGAAGGTAGCACTTTATGTTCCACATTTTATTCATGAGGAAACGGAGGCAAAGGGAGGTTCGGTAACTCGTGTGTAATCATATAGTTACCATGGGATAGAGCCAACTGGCTTTTGGCCACATAGAGCCTCCCTAGTCAGGCTAGCGTTTTAGGTAGTCAGCTGTGGAAATATGTCCATGCTTCTAATACATATGAAAGCACTTGAAGAATTTCAAAGATTTTCTCTTTGGTTATCAGATTTCAGGGAGAATGGGAAGAACGCTTTCTACCATGAACCACATACAAATGGTAAATTAATAAGAGAAATAAAGATAATAATTCAAATATGCATCAGCTCAGGAGAAATTCAAGCTTTAAAAATCATTTTGTTTTAAAAGTATCATTCATAAGTACTCTTATCTGAACACTTAGTGGTCCTTCACTAAGGGTTAACTTAAAAGCTAATTATCATAAACTCCCAGAATTAACACCAATATATCACTTCCAAATAACAATAAGAAACACAGGGGATAGTCATGGCAAAATCAACCAACCAACCAAAGCACTGAAGTTAGAAAGTTTGTGCTTTGTTTCTAAATGTGTATGATATGTTCTGTTGCCTTACATGCCTCGAATAGTGTAATTTGCAATTACGCTTTGTTCATGTTATTAACGTTTCTGGTCAAATTCCACCCCAGTGATATCACTCTAAGACATAATCAATGTATCTGATACTATCGTCATCAAATTTGAGGAAGATTACGCTTTGTTAACAATTTTCACCTTATGTAACAACCTTCCTCTCTGACCTTAAGAGTGCAGTTAGCTGTTATTTTAAAAGGATAATTCCATTTCCTCAGAATTTTTTTTAGTACAAGTAAGCACAATGTTATGCCAATTAGTCTTTTTAAAAAGGCATTCTATGAATCTATGACATTACCAATAATACATTTTCAGTTTGGGAAACAGTGTTATTCCCCATACACCTTATTCTTTATTAAATGGAATTTCTCCCTGAAAGAATACTTAGAGATATTTTCTCTTCTAAGAGTACTTTTCTCTGAAATCTTCTGTCAGGTCACCTTTCTTTACAGTTAATTTGCCTTGCCAACCCCCAGCCACTGCCCAGGTCTGGCACAAAGAGTACAATACCCTATCAGGTGACCTTACCTTCTTTCCAAATTTATGGCATGATTTGGGTTGCATCTATTAACTTCCCTTTTTTTGGTAAAAAATTAGTTGCGGTGTTAAGTGTTCCCTGAGACCTCTTTCAGCAGGAAGATACCAAAATTCTGACTTTAAAACCTTCCACATTACTACCAAGAAATACAAATGCAAAGAGGGTCCTAAAATTTGACCGGTATCATAAAACCAGTTATTCCTTTCTTTCTTTAACCAACATTCATTTAAAACTCTTGCAGCACATTCTGACAGAACTTTATGCAATGATGGAAACTTTCAACATCTAACAGTCAAATAAAGGTAGCCACTAGCCACCTGTAGCTACTGGGCACTTTAAAAGTGGCTAGTGTACCTGAGGGACTGATTTTAAATTTTATTTAATTTTAATTAACTTAAAGAACCACATACGGTCAGGGGCTACCACACTGGTAGCAGTTCATAGCTTCAAGAACACGACAATACAAACATTTTACCCTTTTGATTTATTCAGCACGTACTCTATCATGCCTTCCGAGCACTGATCCTCCCACCACGTTTTCGCTTCATAGAACTCCACAGACAGATCAAAAAACAGCACAGGCATTTCCATTTCGTGATGATAATTTTGCAAGAGATCCCAGAACTGTTCTTATGTGCTAACAAATACAGAGGCTTGGAAGGGGAAAGGAACTTTTTGATTTTTTTTTTCCTGTGTTTTCTCCCCAGTACCCCGTTTCTCCTTGTAGTTTGTGGCCTTCCTCTAGCCAGAGCGCGCCCATCTCCAGCGGGGCACCTTAACTACTAGACTTTGTTGCTAGTTTTTTGAAATAACCCTGTGGACCCTGAGGGAGTTTGGACTTTAAAAAGACCCAGTTCGGGGACCCTGTCCTTTCCTATAGGTCGGCCAGGTGACAAGGCAGGCC